AGATAGATGTTTAGAGATAGATATGGATGGATGGATGGGTAGATAGAGATTTAGAGGTATAGATATAGATGGATGGATAGATAGAGATTTTGAGATATAGATATAGATGGATGGATGGATAGATATTTAGAGATATAGATATGGATAGATATAGATATTTATATATAGATATATAAATATATATAGAAAGCTGAAGAACGGTTTTCATCCATGGCCTGTCCGACTCCTGAATGGGAAATAACTTTGTAACAAAGTAACAGATAATCAGAGTTGGAAGGAACATTGGAGGTCATCTAGTCCAGGGATCGCCAAACTTTTGGACCTCAGGGACCACGAAACTCATTTTAGATCCCAGGGACCACTAACTGGTTCTGTGGGTGTGGCCTAATTTGTGGGTGTAGCTTGGTGATCATGTGACTGGCTGGGCATGGCTTGTATCTGAATATTTATATAAATTTATATAAATATTTATATAAATATTGGATTTTTTATAAAAAAGCAGCTTTTACCCAAAATCAGGCAAAGCAGGCAGGCAGATTGAGTTGCTCATAGAATCATTCAGTGATCTATCTATCTATCTATCTATCTATCTATCTATCTATCTATCTATCTGCCATCGGCTAGCTCAGTCTCTCGAATTTGCTTGCAAGCAAACCTTCAGTCCTAAGGGAGGTTCGGCTGTACTTAAAAGCAGAGCCAAAGATCTAAAGACTAGCTAGAAAGCAAGAAATCCAACCATTTCCTGCTTCCTAGCTAATCTACAGTAAATCTCCGGGCACAGCAGGACAGATGATGGTTGGAAAAAGGAAAAATAGCAATTTGGCAGGCAAGTTTGCTGGTAAGGAGTGAGTGGGCGGGGAGGGTTCCCACGGGCCATGTGGGCGGTGCAGCCTTGTGTTCCTGCACAGCCTGGATTAATTGCTTTGGGGGGATGCTCTGGGGGTGAGATTTCTCTGCGGCCCACCAAAATTGTCTCAGTTGGCAACCACTGCTATAGAAGAAAAATGACTTAATCTCTTCAGATCTTCAGATCTTTTTTGAGATTTTTCTCCAATCTGTCTGCTTTGTAAGGACAGGGGAGGAAAAAAGCAACCATTTTTTGTAGGCAATCTCTCCTTTTGACTGTATTTTACTGTGTTTTTCCCTTTAATTCAGTTAGGCATGAAAGAGTTTTGTGGTAAAAAAAGCAAGTAACAGAAAATTTTCACCTTCCATATATTCATGTGTCAATAATAATACAAGACAATAAAATGAGACTAGTACCATCTAAAACCTGAGCCAGTAACCCAAGAGTTTTCAGCCTCTTACTTTTATGATAGTTTGCAGCAGCAATTTGTAGTCCAACCTTCCTTCTGATTCAAACTTTGTTCCTAAGTGATGCATAGCTGAGGAGCAAGAAGATGATCCGACAGTACTCTGGCTACCTCCACATTCAAGGTATTCTGCTGCTGTCAGTAATGAAATCTGGCTGGCAGGCATTTGGTAAGCTAAGCATAATTTTCAAGAACAGCCTCCGTCTCTGCCTGAAGAGAAAAGTTTTCGATCAGTGTATACTACCTGCTCTAATATGCCAATGAAACACGGACACTAACCTCATAATCCATAAAAAAGCTGTGAGTGGCGTAAACAGCCATGCAAGGATACATGCTCAGTATTACAAGACAAGATAGAAAAACCTGCAGATGGATTAGAGAACTAAAGTATATCATCAAGAGAATAAAAGAATTGCAATGGAAGTAGCAAGAAGAAATGATGGCAGGTGGACCAAGGTAGTCATAGAATGGATCCCACTGGATCAAAAGGATCCACAAAAGGGACCTAAAACAAGATGACATCGGTAAGGATTGTGGGCCCAAGTGGCAAAAGGAAGTTCAGGACTGCATTGGTTGGAAACATACGGAAGAGGCCTTCATCCTGCAGTGCTCAAACAATGGCTAAAATGATGATAATGAAGCCAATATTTATAAGTACACTGAAAATTGCACAAATCAGAGTACACAGCAACAATTGGCTCACTCCTGAACTGAATTTGCTCACTCCTGAATGGAAGCAATCCAATTTATGATGATATTTATGCAGTGAGAAACCTCAAAGAATGGGGAAAAAAATCCCCTCACAACTGCTTTTGTGGCATAACATCTCTGCCTGCCAGCCTGACATTTGAGGAGCTTTTTGATGCACGTGCATTGCTCATGAATTACCATATTCAGATAATCTATCCTGGGAGATTAAGAGTAAAGATCCTATCAAGGATCATGAGGGATGGGGGAAGAACAAGTGGAAATATTTGCAGCAGGGAGTCTCCATGCCCATGCCTCTTTGGTGCAGGCTGTGGAAAGAGTCTCGTGGCTGAATCAGGTCTGTACATAATACATGAAATTGGCCTTGTATTATTTCTACAGGTGGCAACATCTCCAGTTGCAGGACTCTGAATTAACTATTCATTTTGTTACTGAAACCAATATAGAACAGGCCTCAGGTCCAATTAGCAAGATCACATTACTGAGGCAGCTGGTACTACAAATGACAAAGCAGGACAAAGGTTGGGTCCCCTGAAGGCCTCTGGAGCAAGTCACAGGCAGCTCTAGCAAGAGGCAAGGAAAGCAATGCTGCTGCTATTTCTGCCGAAAGAGACAACTTACACAACAAGTGACAAATGTTGAATAGTTTCAGTGCAACATAGGAAATTCCACCCGGACCTCAGAATTCACTTTTCTCTTAACTTTCAAGTTTTGTATCCTGCTTAGATAGAGCTTTTATATTCTTGCCCTAGAAGTAAAACTACACGTCCCCATATCATACGGTCAAACATATAGACAGAGTTTATTACAATCACAGACCAGGGTGAAAACACAATTTATCCAGTGGAACAAACAGGGTTGTGTATGCCACACATTCAGTTGCATGGGAGTCGAGTTATTTTAACAGAGGTTAAATTAAAGCCAGAAGGGAAAGAAGTTCTCCCTTGCCACGCTTGGACCGAGGAAAGGATCTCATCCTGACGTCGGGTCAGGAATTGCAAAAGGTCTTGCGGGTTTTGTGTCAGTCACGTTTTACGCCAGCTGCGGGGCTGGTGGCTTGGCTTGGAGGGAGAGCCTTGTCATTCCCCCAAAAGGCTGCGGAGCCCAACAAGAGCCTGAAAAGATTTTGACGGCTGAGTTTGCACCGACGCGCCGGGTTTAGATCAACGAGTCCCACAGTAGTTTGCAATCGGAGGATTGTGGTTTAACACAAAGAAATCGCGGCTTGGCGCGTGCAGGGAGGCCAGCGTGCCAGTTGCTCCATCCACGTCGCCACCCTGCCACTCTCCCCCACAAGGAAACAGGCCGGACCGGAGACAGCTCCACCGCTCAGCAGCCAGGACCGTTCGGGCTCCGGAACCACTTCGTCTGAGCAGCGGTTTCCGGGACGGATTGGTTTTGCTGAGGACTGGACGGCTGCTTTATAGGTTCCGGGACCATGCAAGGGCGCTAAGAACAACTGATGCCGATTGGACGGCCGGCAGGGCGCTTCCGACGTTCCGTAGCTACCAACCCCGCCCCTCCGCTGGGACAGCGCTGCGACCCTTCCGGGCACCCGTAGCATGCCAGGAAGCGTCCCGTCCTCCTTCCTGGGCGCTCCGGGGAGGCCTCCGCGGCTCGGCCCTTCGCAGCTCCTCCCGGTGCCGCCGCCGCCCGCCCTCCGCGGGGCTCCTGCAGGATCGCGGCCGGCGGGCAGGAGGGGCGCTCCGGCGCTCCCGGCGGACGCTGCGCCCCGAGGGCCCCTTCCCAGGAGGCGCGCTGCCCGGCAGAGGCGGAGACGGCCGGCCATGGGGCCCGTCTGACCGGCCGCGCATGGTGGGCGACGGGAGCGGCGGGACGACGAGGAGCGCCGGCGCCCCCGCGGACCCCAAGGGGGCCGGCCCGCATGCCCGCGCCCGCTGCGGAGCCACGGAGGGGGGAGAGCGGGAGGAGCCCCGGCCGGCCCCGGCCCCTCCGGGGGAGGCCGGCGGGGCGCGGTGGCGGTCCCTGCAGGAGCAGGCGGCCATGGAGAGCCTGGCCGGCTACGTCTACAAGGCGGCCAGCGAGGGCCGGGTGCTGACCCTGGCCGCCCTGCTGCTCAACCGCTCCGAGGGCGACGTCCGCTACCTGCTCGGCCACGTCACGCACCAGGGCGGGCAGCGGTCCACGCCGCTCATCATCGCCGCGCGCAACGGGCACGCCAAGGTGGTCCGCCTGCTGCTGGAGCACTACCGGGTGCAGACGCAGCAGACCGGCACCGTCCGCTTCGATGGGTAGGTGCGCCGAGGGCCCGGACAGGCAGGCACCCCGGGGGGCCAGGGGAGCGCGGTCCGGTTCAGAGAGAGAGAGAAGGATGGAGGGATGGAGAGAGGGAGAGATGGAGAGAGATGGAGGGAGAGAGAAGGAGGGAGAGATGGAGGGAGAAGGAGGGAGAGATGGAGAGAGAGAGAAAGAGAGAGAGAGATGGAGGGAGAAGGAGGGAGAGATGGAGGGAAAAGGAGGGAGAGATGGAGAGAGAGAGAAGGAGGGAGAGAGAGAGAGAGAGAGAAGGAGGGAGAGATGGAGGGAGAAGGAGGGAGAGAGAGAGATGGAGGGAGGGAGAGAGAGAAGGAGGGAGAGATGGAGAGAGAGAGAAGGAGTGAGAGATGGAGAGAGAGAGAGAGAGAGTCTGGTTAGGTGGACATCTTCCTTCCACCTGGATGGCATCGGTGCCAATCAATGATGGTCCCCAATCCCTACCAGTGGAGGAATGAGGCCAGCCAAAAAGGTTTCTCGTTTGCTCCCTAGGAGTAATTTGTGCAATTCTGATCCTGCTGGACTGTAATTAGGAAGGGGCGTAGGTAGTATGACCCTGGACTCATTGCCCCAAGTTTTGGGATAAGTTGCATGCAAGAGGAGGTGATATGTGCAGGGCTTGCCATCCTATGGCTCAGGGCTCTCCAACCTTGGAAACTTTAAGCCTGGCAGACTTCAATTCCTGGCTGGGGAATTGTGGGAGTTGAAGTCCACCAGGCTTAAAGTTGCCAAGGTTGGAGAGTCCTGCTATGGCTGTCAAATTTCTCACCCTTGGGCATTTTTATCATTTCATTCCCTCTGAACCTCCTGTTATTGCAGACTGTACAGGATAATAAAAACAAGGACAAATAGGCTGAAAAACAGCTTCTATCCCAGGGCAGTAGGTCTATTGACAATATTAATGTATAGTGCAATATTAATGCAATATCAGGGGTTTTCAGTTCAATGTGTGCAGTGTGAGGGATGTGTGTTTGTGTTTATTTTCATAGTCATAAATTGTACACTGAAGGTTGTATTTAATTTCATTGTACGAGTTGCAGTGACAATAAACTAAACTAAACTATTGTTAGGGCCAGGAATGATTTCTCTTTCCTGCAAGGCAGGAGTTTGTTGAAAAATTGGGAAGCTACAAGGGAAGGGAAGAGAAGGCTGTGAGAAATGAAACTTCTATTCAAGCCCACGTTATTTAGCCTAATGCATTAAGTCCAGATCACAGGACTGTTCACGGTCATCATCCAGCCTGTGCCTTGCATTGTGTGAGGTCAATCATTAGATTCAGGGATTCAGCCATCCGAGATTGGAACATTCCTGCAATTACAACTCTACAGCTTTCTTTATGTATTTCCTGAGGGGAAGCATTGGGAGTGTTGGAATAATGGCTTAAAGGTCTCATCTGAAAGAACTTGGGTGCATTTCAATTTTCTTATTCTGTTCTTTCCAGTCAGGCTGGCATTTTACTGGTTTAGAAGATCTTGTTTCAGTGAAGCTAAAATTCTTCATTTCATTTAAAGATATCATACCAAAGGACAAATACAAACTGCTTAAACATGCAACGCTCAGCATTTCCCATGTACATAGCTGTAATAAGACAGCTGAAAATAAGACCTGGTCTTACTTTCTTTTGGAGCCCAAAATAAGCACCAGGTCCTTGGGAGACCCACTTACCTTAGGACCACCGTAGCCAGGCCTCTCATGCCCCAACACCTGTTGTGCTGCTGCCTGTCTTCTGTGGCCTCTCGTGGCCAGACGCTACGTGGCTCATTGCACTGGTGCTGCCGCTCATGGCGGGTGGCTTTGTAGTGTTGTGCTGTTGTGCGTGTGAGCGGCGACACTGATGCACTGCACCTCATGGTGTCCTGCCACAAGTGGCGGCCCCAGTAAAATAAGCCTCACGGTGTCCTACCACGAGCGGTGTCACCAGCACGATGTGCCATGTGGCATCCGGCCACGAGTGACTGGAAGCAGCCAACAGAAGAAGTCGGACAGCGGGACAACAGGTGTTGGGTTGTGGGAGCCCTGGTTGCAGTGGTCCTAAGGTAAGCGAGCGCAGAGCCCATGGGGCAGCTCCATACCGCACCCCGACCCTAGCTTGATTTTTACATGTGTGCCTCGCCCCACCTGGTTCAGCCAAGCGATGGGCGGGGCATAAGTGGGGCTTATTTTTTGGGTAGGGCTTATATTAGGCGCAGGCGTGAAAATGGGCCTAGGGCAGGGGTGTCCAACCTTGGCAACTTTAAGACTTGTGGACTTCAACTCCCAGAATTCCTCAGCCAGCAAAGCTGGCTGAGGAATTCTGGGAGTTGAAGTCCACAAGTCTTAAAGTTGCCAAGGTTGGACACCCCTGGCCTAGGGCTTGTTTTCGGGATAGGTCGTATGTTTGGGGAAACACAGTATTTGCTGTCTCACTGGCCCACCTTTCTCTCTCTTTTTTTGCCCAAATCAACTTGATAATTTCTTTCTGTGACATCGCTGAAGAGTTGGGTTGCTGAGAGCTGTGGGACATACCACCCAGGAGAGGGGGAGCTTAGGCAGACACCTAAGGGCAGCCAGACCCCCCCATTTGCTCTCTGCTCCTGGTGGAATGGATTAGGTAAGGTAGGACAAGTTACGCTGAAACGTCTCATTAGATCAAATGAAAGTGATTTCGGGTTAAAATCTTTTTGAGTACAAAAGCTATTTTTTTTCTGTTTTGACAAGGGAGAATTAAACAGCAGAAATGGTCTAATTGGAGGAGGGAAGACCACTTTGAAAACTCCTAATTTGAAGAGCTATCCAGGTTGAATTTTAGGGACTGGGAACTCGATAGGTAGAGCCTGCAGCTAAATTTCACTTGCTTCGCTTCCATCCCATCAGGCCTGTTTAAAGGAGCTCTGTTAAATTATCACATTAGTTCACAGGGATAACCTTTGAAGAGGACACCTTGCAGGCAGTTGCCTTGGTATCCAGAGGAAACTATCGGAGAGTCTGTGGAGAGTTTTAGAAGGGAATCCTGGAGGGGCTTCCTCTGTTCCACCCTGCAGATCCACGATAGGTTAGAAGAGGCAAGCCAAAGAGCGGCAGAATTTAAAAAAAAAAATTACCCAAAAATTCCCTGGCAAAGCAAATTTGGATGAAGCCACAGCATAGGTCCTGTAAAAGGATCCTCACCTCAGGCTGGAATAAATAACTTTTAGGCTCCATTTCTTCCTTTCCTTTAAACGGCTTTGGAACCCAAGGGCTTCCCTGGGCCAGGAGGTTTTTGCCTGTTGTTTTTAAACTCCCTTCAGTAACTTCCCTCCACTCACCTCCTGTCCGGCAAAAGGTGGGACGGCCAGCAGCGTGAAGTGGGACCTCCTGTGAAACAGTGACATTGGGACATAATTGCCTCTTCTAAGAAGATAAATCATGCCAAATTCCAGATACAATTTGGTTGTTATTTCATGAAACACCGAATGACCCATTGGGATACCCATATCCAAATAACTCACCTTATGTCCGGCCAGAACTTGAAAATAACATTTAAAGTAGCACAGTATTCAAACAAAGCAATTCGGTTGAGATCTGCATATGTGCGATTGATTGGGGTAGATTGCAAGGGCGACTCTGAAATATAATGTTATTATATTTTATCCATATCTTAAATTATTGTACGTTATTACAGTTTTATTTTGGATTGTACTTTATTACTATTTCATCTTAAATCGTATTTTGTCTAGATTCCATTTTAAATTGTATTTTATCAAGTTCCATTTTGAATTGCTTTTATTAAATTTTAGTAACAAATTGTTGCTGGAACTTTGCACTTTGATATGGCCCAAGGGCTAATCAATAAAGACTTATTGTTAATGAAACAAATATGAATAAAAAATGAACTCTGCCAGAAACAAAAACACGTACACAAAACACGTTTAAATTCTGCTAATTCAACTTTTTTGTTATTATTATTATTATTATTTTGCATAATAAGCTTATGTTCAGTTGGTTGACATACTTTGGGTTTACTAGTTACCTCTGCTTCACTTCATGAAAAGCTGTACCGTTGCATCCCTTCAATAAATGAACTTGTCTCCCTGGTTTATATCATGGAGTTTTCCTGAGATTATAAATGCAATTGAGCAGGCTAACTAAATTGCTACCACCCTTTTAAGCAAAGTGAAATGAGTAGAGGTCTTCCCTTTCTCCCCAAGAACTTTTCATGCATGCATTTGCTTAAACTTGGGTGACGTTTCTCAGAATTTTGGGGCTTTTCCATCCAGAGTCCTGCATTTCTTATAAGAGAACATACTTAAGGACCACAGCTGGTCTGTTAGAACCAGTGCACATGTTTTTGATCAGTTATCATTCAGCTGTTCAGAATAGGCATAGTGCTGTTTAGTATCTCTGTTATATGCCGTGGTTGTATCTTGTAAACTGCCTGTTAATATTGCTGGCAAATAGTTCCTACCAGCTGGCCTATTTATGGATTGGACTGTTTCACTGTTGTATGAAATTGCACTTTTAAAACTAGCCTTATACTCTCCAGTGTACAAAACTTACTGTATATCGCTACCCTGGTGTTGTGCCTATACAAAAGCACAATCCTTAAGGCTATCCTTGGTCTTTCATTTAATACTCGTCCTTTGCACTCTCCCTCCTTCCGAATTGTCTCTCTGAACAGAGAAACTCCACCTCTTTATTTCTCGTGGACTTACTTTTAAGCCTGTGCTAAAATTACAGCTGTTGTACACAATTTATCTCTCTTCTTTTTCCATAGTTACGTCATAGATGGAGCCACAGCACTGTGGTGTGCAGCTGGGGCTGGCCACTTCGAAGTTGTCAAGCTTTTGGTAAGCCATGGGGCGAACGTTAACCACACTACCGTGACCAATTCCACCCCTCTGCGGGCTGCCTGCTTTGACGGCAGGCTGGACATCGTCAAGTACCTTGTGGAGAACAATGCCAACATTAGCATTGCTAACAAGTATGACAACACTTGCCTTATGATCGCTGCTTACAAGGGCCATGTCGACGTGGTGCGCTTCCTTCTAGAGCAGCATGCTGATCCCAATGCCAAAGCACACTGTGGCGCTACAGCATTGCACTTTGCAGCTGAGGCGGGTCACTTGGAGATTGTCCGGGAGCTAGTCAAGTGGGAATCTGCCATGATGGTGAACGGCCATGGCATGACGCCTCTGAAGGCAGCTGCAGAGAGTTGTAAAGCTGATGTTGTGGAGCTGCTGTTGGCACACGCGGACTGTGACCGCAAGAGCAGGATCGAAGCTTTGGAACTCCTGGGTGCCTCCTTTGCAAACGACCGGGAAAATTATGACATCATGAAAACCTATCATTATTTATATTTAGCCATGCTCGAGCGGTACAGAGATAGCGAGAACCTTATAGAGAAGGACATCCTGCCCCAGATAGAAGCCTATGGCAACCGGACGGAATGCCGAACTCCTCAGGAGTTAGAACGCATTCGCCAGGACCGAGATGCTTTGCACATGGAGGGCCTCATTGTCCGTGAGCGGATCCTGGGCTCTGATAACATCGATGTGTCGCATCCAATTATTTACCGTGGTGCTGTTTATGCCGATAACATGCAGTTTGAACAGTGCATTAAGCTCTGGCTCCATGCTTTGCATTTACGACAGAGAGGCAGTAGGAACACCCACAAGGACCTTCTCCGATTCGCTCAAGTTTTCTCTCAGATGATACACTTGAATGAGCCTGTGAAAGCCAAGGACATTGAGAGCGTCTTGAGATGTAGCGTCCTGGAGATAGAGCAAGGCATGGCCAGGGTCAAAAGCTCTCCAGAAGCTGAGCTTCACACAGCCATGGACAACTACGAATGCAATATCTTTACCTTCTTGTACTTGGTGTGCATCTCAACCAAAACCCAGTGTAGAGATGAGGAACAATCACGAATTAATAAACAGATTTATAACTTAATCCACCTGGATCCCAGGACACGAGATGGGTCTAGTTTGTTACACCACGCGGTCAACTCCGGTACTCCAGTCGATGACTTCCACACCAATGACGTCTGCAGCTTCCCTAACGCCCTGGTCACCAAACTTCTTCTGGACTGTGGCGCGGACGTCAACGCGGTGGACCACGAGGGAAACACTCCGCTGCACGTCATAGTCCAGTACAACAGGCCCATTAGTGACTTTTTGACCTTGCATTCTATCATCATCAGCTTGGTGGAGGCCGGTGCTCATACAGATATGACAAACAAACAGAAAAAAACACCTCTCGACAAAAGTACGACGGGGGTGTCCGAAATCCTCTTGAAGACTCAAATGAAACTGAGCCTGAAGTGCCTGGCTGCTCGAGCTGTGCGGGTTCATCATATCGGTTACCACAATCAGATCCCCAAGGCGTTGGAAGAATTTGTAGAATTCCACTAGGAATCCGCACCTAGACGGTGATATCTCCCTCTCCCTCCATGAAGGGTCAGATAAAATGTCAGACACATAGTCTGGATCTCCTTTTCCTTTTCCATTTTTTTTCAGGCGTGAATAGACACCAGTCAGCTCTTTGATATTTTGCTTTGGTTTCCAAATAGATCACCTGGTGGCAGGATAAATGGGGTCTTTTTCCCTTAGAGGAGAACAGAGCAAACCCTAAATTCGAATAAGGGTAGAATATTTTGATAGAGCACTCTGATGCACACGGGTTTCACCATTGACAGCCGAGAATGCTTTAAGCAGCTATCTGCCAAGTGTTTTGCATTTGATAGATCTAGACAGTACGTATCTATGCAGCCGCCTGGGGAGTCATCCAGTGGGGGGTGGGAGTAGATGGAGGTGAGAATTATTGCTGGGATTTTATTGACACATATAACAATCCAGGGAAATGTCTTCTTCACCAGCCTATTTTTTTTTTTAACGTTTTTCCATTCCCACCAATACAGCCAACTTTTCTTTCTAATTTCTGCAGTGAAATGAAAACTGATTATTTCCCATGAGACAGAAATTCAGACAAGAGAACGGGCTTGTTGATAGTATATTTTTCATTGATTCTTAGAAAAAAAAAATATTGACACAACTCTTCCAACTCAGTTCTTTATGCAGAAGTATTTTTTCAGTCGAGCAAAAATGCTGTGGGTATTTATGTGTGGATGGATAAGCGCGGTGGTTTTGGATAGGCCCCTCACCTAGAATTTTATCTGGGATGCATTTTCCTACTATCTTCCAACTAGCTGGCAAGCAAGGATTATTATTTTTTTTTGCAAAAGATGAGCTCATATTTTTTTAGAAATAATATTTAAAAATTGTAGCAGGAAGGATCAGGGAAGAATAATTGACATTGTCCTGCCCTGAAAATAATGTTGTGTTTTCAGTCTATTGATCATGGCTCCGTTTAGGATCCCCCCGCCCCAAAATGCCCCCCTCCCAAGGCCATCTTGTTAATTCTCTGTAGTAACTTGATTGTGTGAAAAAATGTTTTGACCTGGGAAAAGCGTCTCTTTAGCAGAAACGTCAGCAGCCTATAAGCGGGAGTTTTTACAGGTCTTTGGAAGCACATGCCATTATTTTAAATGTCACTTTGTCAAAATGTGGAAGAATGGTCTCCTGTCATTTTTTAAAAATGGGTCAGTTCTATTCGGGAAAGACACTCTGGGCACAGGTGTATGTGTTTGTACTACAAATAAAAATCTTGAATGTGAAAACCAGGTCTTAATTCTAATTTATCACGTTGCAAAGAGGACCTGTTACTGCTGTCTCTTGGGCACCAGTAAGAGCACCAGTAAAGGACACCAGGGGGAAGTGGATTCTGCCCATTGCCTGTAAACTTTCTGTTTTTCAAATAGATGCAAAATATTGTAAAAAACATGCATTGCCTCCATTTCTGATTGTTGTGCCTGCCTTCTTCCCTGTTAATCCACTATTTAACAATTGTCTTGTAAGCCACTGAAATGTTTAAGAATGGCAAGTGTATGTTAATCCAAGGGAGGGAAATGCTGTTTTGAAGAACACCCAGTAGATGGAGCAGGGTTTGGGCTTCAGGGACCTCTTCCAACTCTAGAATTCAATGATAAACTATACCTTTGCTTTCGGCTGTGTGTTTTTTAATGAAAGCAGTGATTACTACTTACAAATTACAGTATTGTTTTTGAAACGTGCCATTGTCGTTTACCAAACTATGCTTGAAACAAATAATCACATAATCAAATGATGTGAAATAGAATGGATTCGTTGGCTTGTCCTCGTGCTGCAGTTTCTTGGCTGTGTATTAGCTGGTTCAGCAGCTCAGAAAGTTCGGTTCTTCAAAGCCATAATGACGTGAAAACTGTCGATGTGGGGTCCCACTTTTTATAGCGTGTCTTGGAAGACCTGGCCATGGAATTTATTTTGAACAATGAAAACTGGGTTAAATTTTTATAAAAATAATATACATGGTTATTTTTTTATTTTGGTCTAATTTAATTAACTGTGTAATTGTGGTGTTTCTATTAAGCACAAGTAAAAGGTTTGGAATGAACATAATACCAAGGGTTCTCCCAAGAAATTTCATTGAACAGATTAGATTTGGAAAATAGCGGTACAAGCAATGAACTTTGTGTGAGCGAAAATTCAGATGGCTGATATCCTTTGCCCTTCAGTTCATTTGCATCCTTTTAGAGGGTCGTTGAGGCCACTTGGAGGTTCATCTGTGTCCTCAAGGTTGCCTAAGTAGTGCAAATGGTTCCTGCAGTAAATGGCTTACAATCAACTATAGACTACTCTTTGTTTCAGGAATATTTTATATGTCTTTCTAAAACAGAACACGTAAGGGGCACATGGTTGCCATAGGAGGAAAGTGTCTTCCTGTTGTTGATTCCCAGTGTCTAATACAAAGAGATGTTTTGCTTGTTTTCATCTGAAGAGTATATTGCAATCTAATCCATTACATATCTAATCCATTTTAGAATAGAACAGAACAACAGAGTTGGAAGGGACCTGGTAGGTCATCTAGTCCAACCCCCTGCCCAAGCAGGAAACCCTGGCCTATACCATTTCTGATATATGGCTGTCCAGTCTCTTCTTGAAAGCTTGCAGGGATGAAGCTCCCACAACTTCCGAGGGCAACTTCTGTTCCATGGGTTGATTGTTCTCACAGACAGAAAGTTTCTCCTTATTTCCAGGTTGAATCTCTCCTCGTTCAGTTTCCATCCATTATTCCTTGTCTGGCCTTCGGGTGCCTTGGAAAATAGTTTGACCCCTTTCTTCCTCTCTGTGGCAGCCCCTCAAGTATTGGAAGGCTGCTCTCCTGTCTCCCCTGGTCCTTCTCTTCCCTAGAGTAGCCAAGCCCAGTTCCTCCAACCGTTCTTCATATGTTTTAGAGCAGTGGTGGCTAGCACCTTTTTGAGCTCCTGTGCCAAAAATTGTGTGTGCGCTGGCGCACGTGCGCTCACATGCCAGCAGCCAGAAGGCAATGCGCTCCCCCCTGTGCATGCGCGTGCAATCCCCCC